TATATAAACATGACTACCTGTATACTTACGTCTTCCAGCATTACTGGTAAATTATCACCGGTTTTGATGCGATAAGACTTGTGAAGATAAATATAGTTGAAATGTTTGTTGTGTGATTTTTTTAACTGCAGCAGTCTACCTTTTCGCTTGAATTTTCAAATTTGAATGCAAAATTTGGTCTTTTCGGATTTGTACTGTGAAAACTGCAGGGATTTTCACGAAAATTATGTACTCCATTAGGTTTTTTCAGTGAGTGTCTTATAAATGATGTTTCTATATTGCAGTCATGGGAAGCAACTTGGCGGGTTCAAAAATTTGAATATTTGCCGGAGTGGCTTCAGGATAATGAATATTTACGACACGGCCATCGGCCCCCTTTGCCAAGCTTCACTGAATGCTTCCGCAGTATATTATCTGTTCATACTGAAACAGGAAATATCTGGACCCATTTAATTGGTATGCTTTCTAAGAAGCTATACTTTTCCCTGTTTGAGACAATTTCATTTTACATTTCGCTGATATCATTGGCCTTTATCTCAGCAACTTCACTGGCACTATAGAAAGATGCGGGCAGTGAAGTTCAGCTTTTTTACTCTTTCCCAGGAAATGAAACTTATCACAAGACAAATCCAAAATGATAACCGGGCAAGAGGCTTTCCTTTCAGACTGTTCTACTCCAGTTCATAGTTAGTTCTTTCCCTTAAAATTAGCAGTTGGTCATACTTTTCTTGCGAATTTTTAAACAGACGGTAATGTGAAGACCGTCATCCTTTTTCTTAAAAGGTCTTAGACTGAAACGCAGCAGGCTTGCCGGTGCGATCATGCGTTTTTGCATTAGACTTGAAGCAGTCAGGCCGTCAACTGTATGAATGGTTGTTGCTTGTATTTAGTTTGTATACGCATTAGCGTAAATGATCGTAAATTTTGCATAAAGAAAAATGACGAACTTTCTTTGAACGGTCTTTCATTGAAAACGACAAGGCTGTTCGTTAAGCAGTTTTTCCGTCAAGACTTTTACGTGCTCGCACGTGAGAACCATTCATGTTCTGATGCTGAATTTGAAGTCTGTTGTATGTGGACGGGGAACATTTCATTAAAATTTCAGCTTCTCAACTTTTCTGGTTCTCAAGTTAGCAATTTTTCCGACACAACCTTCACGCCCCCATGCTTTGACAAGCGTGATAATGTTTAACTTGTACATGGGTAGAGAATATTCCCTTTAAATTACGGCTTTCTAGGTTTTTCGGCCCCCGATTAATTAAATTTCGCGTCAAATTTTTTACGCGTCTTTGCGTGAGACTCTGACTTGCTGGGGGATTGAATTTGAAATCTTTTGGTCAGGCATGAGTAGGGAACACTGCTGTAAAGTTTAAATTTCTTAGCTTTTCTCGTTGCCGAGTTAGCAGTTTTCTCGTGAAATTTTCTTGCCTGTCCGTACGTGAGCCGCAGTTGTGCGTGGAAGTTGCTATCACGTTCCTGGAGTCGCATTTGGTCAAGGAACACAATAACAAAATTCGAGCACTACAGCTTTCCTGGTTGTCGAGTAAAAACACCCGGGTAAACGAATACACACATACACAGAGTCGTCACAGTACGCATTTTTGCTGCCTGTTGCAGCGCTCCAGTGCTATACAGCAAAAACAGACACGTGTTAATCGAAATTTGCGCAACAGCAGCGAGTTCTATCGCATTTTTAGCCTTGGCTGTATAGCTGTATCACCTTTTTTTCCTGAGCCGTTAATCGGGCATTGTTAACCGCAACATAGCACCGGTTCTGTGACCATATGAACAGATTTCTTCCTTTCGTTAGCTTTCATCCCGTTCCTTTCACTCTCTCTTCCTTCCTCCTCTCCGCCTCCTCCTTCTGCTGTCCTGCCAGCTCTTTATTTTCTCCACTTCAACACCTGGACGTGAAAAAGAAGACAAATCATCTTAAGG